GGGGGGGGGGGGGGGGACGGGCGGTCTTTTGACAAACGAGCGCTGTCGTCGGAAGGGAAAGTGGATGCGAGCTTTTCGTGGAAAAGCATAGCATGATGCCGATGTTTTTTTTTAGATGTTTTCTTCTTTTAGGAAAAAGGCATGCGCGGGTGTGGGCGTGGGTGTGTAGAGAGGCCATGACAAAAACAATGAATGAAAACCGAGCCTCAGCATATATTCGCCTACCGCTCAACAACGCAAGATTGTAGCGGTGGCGAAGGGTGTAGCGCAGGAAGAGAGCAAGAAGCCAAGGAGATGACGCTTGCCATGTAGAAAGGAGAGGAAGTGTGTGTTTTGTGTTGTATTTGATAGAGAAGGAGGGGGCGCGCGGTTGCCGCCCGCGCGTTGTGTACGCTATTTCTCGCTTGGATTTTTATTGACGAAAAGGCAACCCGGAGCAACGAATGACGTCGGTCAGGACTGGGTATTCAGTGTTTCCAACACGCTTTTTTGAGACGACTTTTCTTGTGACATCTGATCCACAAAGGGACACGCATGTACTTCTATGTATAGTGGCAGTTCCTTCCGGGGAGCGCTAGCCCTGGTCCTTCTTTGTAACTTCCTCACCGCTTACTATATCTTTCTCTGAACCCCCAAGATCTATATATCTTTCTCTGAACCGCCAAGATCTTTATACAAGTAGACTATATCTTTCTCTGAACCGCACAAAAATAGCCCTGTCGGGCACAAGCGTGTGTGTGTTTTCAATATTAGCATCGACCGCGCTAACCGGCTGACCAATGAAAACACGTAAGCCTCAGTGCGGTTGAAAACACAAAACACTTGTATATGCCATGAAGTGGGACCCCGTGAGGGGGCAGCATGGGGGAGGCTAAACTATCCTTGGGATCAAAGACAGAAACAGCAACAGAAGAAAACTGCACGCGTCTACCGTGTGTGTGTGTGTGCAGATCTCGCCTCCTCTCAGGTCCGTTTACCATTTACGGTCTGTTGGTGACTCTTTAGACTAGGTCTAACCGGTGTTGAAGGCTGCGCCGCGTTCTCGGAATTCCAACGGTGAGTGGGCGCTGGAGATGGTCAAGGCTAGGAACCGCGTAGATGTTATAGGAAGACTCACTGCTGTAACAAGAGTGTAAAAGCTGGAGAAAACTGCTGCTGAAGGACGAGGACTACCGTTGATGACACAAGATAACACACCCCCTGGACCGATTTTTCAAATCTCGATTTCTCGACAGCAGAAGAAAGAGTTACAGCGCCGAAAACGGCGGCGTTGAAGCTATCTCGTCTAGAGCTTTCCGATAATGTATTGTTTCATTTATGCATCCTCTTCGTTGTCGCATAATCGAGCTTTGAAAATTGGTCCAGGAGGTGTGTTATCTTGTGTCATGTAAGGTAACAGCGTGTTGTTCTTGTTTTGTTTGTTGTTTCTCACATTAGCTCTATAGTCCACAAAAAATGGGGAGCCCGTGGTCTCAAAACCTGGCACATACGACGCCGCGGGGAAACAAAACAAAAATAGGGTACAAACCACGCGGACAAAGAAAACAAAATGATAGAAAGAAAAGAACAGGTACCGCACCGATCGTTCGAGAAACGAGCCCTCGGAAACCGATCAAAATAAAACAAAAACAAAAATAAAGGAGGACGCTTCCCACACCCGCCTAAAGAAAAAATCAAAGGGTAAGTACCAGCACCAGGCCCTACGCACCAGGGCATGGGAGTAACAGAGAAAAAAGGACAAAGAGGCGGCAGATGGGCAGACAGCCAGACGTACAAAAACAAAGGCAACAGCAAAAGCGAGATCAAGGTACCCAACACAGCAGAGTAGGCAGGGAGGTCATGAAAAAAGAAACACAGCACAGAGGCCGAAGGCAATACAAAGGACATACATCAAGGAGTAAAGCATGCAGCAGGGAGGGAAACAGGGCGCAACAACACCAGCCGGGTACATAGTTCGCCACAAGTGCTGCCTCGGCCGCCCTACTCGCTTCTACAGCAGTGCCCGGTCGCCGTTTCT